GCGATGGAGAGGTACAGAGAGGGCCCTGCCCCTCCCTGGTCCTCCCTGAGGTCTGATCTTCCAGATCAAAGAGGCTGTGGGGGAAAGACTCCTCCCAGCCCAGGGAACCCCCGTGAATCATTTTCTTATCATCTCCTAATAGTATAATGACACATCTGCTCCCTCTAATCATTATTTTTGACCCCAACCAGGCCAAACGCCCAGAGCAAGAAGGGCTGGACAGCAAGGTACGTGGGAGTCAGGGTAGGGAATACCCGAGAGTCCCCATCCTTGGTCTTCCCTCCCCCAGCACCCAGGAGTCCTGTCCCCTTGCCTTGTCCTCCCCGTGTCCTGGCTCTCTGCCTCTCTCTTTTCTCCCTTGTCTATCTTTTCTTCTCTCTCTGGGCCTGTCTCTATCTGCTTTTTTTTCTTTTCTTTTCTTTTTCTATCTGCTTGTTTATCACCATGTGTGTTTTGTGTCTCTCCTGTCTCTTTACATCTTGATTCTCCCTCCCTGGGTGTCAATTTTCTCACTTGTAAAATGGGGATTATAATAATAATAATAATCCAATCTCTTAGAGCTGTTATGAGGAAGACATGAGATAATCATGTAAAATGCTTAGCACAGAACCTGGGCCACAGTAAACTCCATACAAGAGAGCTCTATTATTATTTTCAATATTTTAATCTCTCCATTGGTATCTATGCTTTTCTCTTCGTCTCCACGTGAGTTTCCAGTCTCCTCCCACTCTGGGTTCCTTTGCAGACGGCACCCTGCCCTGGCTTCCCTTCTAGGGGAGAGGAAAGGGCATCTCGAGGCCAGGGCTTCTCCTAAGCGTTTTCCTCGTCATGCCTAGTCGAGCCCCACCTCAGGACCCAGAACTCTTGCCTGGGGACAACGCCTGGCTCCAATTTCATAAGTAGCCACATAAAATACTGAGCTTCAACTCTGTCATCCGTGGGCAGGCCAGTGACTCTTGGGACCAAGGAGTCCCTGTCCCTAGACCCCAGCCTTTCAGGTTCCCAGTTCCGTCCTCTCGCACGATGCAGGAGTCCAAGCTCTCAGCCTCCACCCCCCCAGCTGCTCCCCCTACGGGTCCTCAGTCTCCTCCTCCCTGGGGCCCCCAGCCTCCTCCTCAGGACCGAGGGGTCAGGACTCTCAAGTCCCCACGCTTCCTTAGGACGCAGGGCCAGGTCAGCAAACAGCCCAGGTGCGCGCAGCCAGAAACCGCACCGGCTTCTCCTCTGCGGCCCACCCGGCTCTCAACCACCTCGCGGTTTCTGTTTTTCCGGAGGCGGGTCTGACACGGGAGCCCGCCTCCGGGGTCTAGCTGGGAAAAGCTACCCATGACGTCAATCACTATCACCCAGCCAATAGACACTCCGCCTCCTACTAGCCTGGCCACTCAGGGCGCGCCTCCTAGTGGGTGGGGCCCGCGGCCTAAGTCGGAGAGAGAGAGGCTCTCGGAGACGCCAGTCCCCGCCCTCCCGCCAGTAAGGGGGACCTGGGGGTGGGAATCCCGGTGGGCTCGGCGGCACCGGAGCCGGGCGGTGAGGGGACGGGCCCCGCGGCGCCTGCAGGGCGCGCCCTTTCCAGCGCGCTCAGTGTTGGGATTCTGGACCTAGCTCGGGAGGGAAACGGTGGGCTTGGTGAGGCTTGAGGTGGACGAGGGAGCGTAGCTGGGCGATCGCCCATTTTGCTTTGTTGGAGACACTGAATCCGGGATGCACAGCCTCAGATATTCATTCATCCGTCCATTCCATTCCTCCCACCCTAAACCTGATTCTTGTCTGCACCTCCGTGTCCTGCCCACCGGTCCGTTCAGTGCTTCCCACCCTCATTGGTTCTCTCGCTCGCTGATTTCCGCACGTAAGCCCTCACACTCACCCATTCACACCTTCACCCGCCCATGACTTCAACATTTCCTGAGGCTTCCGACGTGCAGGGCCCGGCGCTGGGCGATGGTGGGGACCAAGCTGAGTCAGGCCTGGGTCAGATGGGAGGGAGGCCAGGCCCACACGTTGATGGGCAGGGGTGTGCGAGGCAGGGAAGTCCAGAAGAGTCTTTTCAGGTTTGTCAGGTGAGGAAAGGGTTTCCAGAGGAGGGGCCATTGGAGCTGGATCTTGGAGGAGCAGGAGGTGCCAAGCAAGGGTGCAGGAGAGCCTGTGGGGAGGGCATTTCATCACAAGCAAAGACAGAGAGCCATGCAAGAGTACTACTGTCTGTAGGTGCCCAGGCTGAAGGCAGCCAGGCTCCCAGCGGCCGGCTGAGGAGCTTGGACTTTGTTTGGGGGGGCCAGGGGCAGGTATCAGGAAGCCATGGAAGGGTTTAGAGCATGGAGGACTGAATCAGAGCTAGAGCTGGAACTGGAGGAGTAAGATAGGAAGCCAGTAGCCCAGAAGGTGGATTGGGCAGGGACCCACTCTGGAGAGGCTGGAGCCTGGATTAGGCCAGAGGCTGAAGGGATAAAGGCAAGAGGCAGAAAGAACAGAATATGGGGCTTGATGGGCCGGGAGGGGGGGGGCAGCTCTCTGTGTGTCCAGGACAAGACCCAGTCCTCTGGCCTGAGGGACTGGGAGATGATGAAGCCATCCCTGGGATGGGGACAAGAAAGAGCAGGTTGGTGTGATGACTGGGCAGAGATGAACGTGGGGTCCTATGAGCTGGACAAGGAGAACTGTGACTCAGGCCAGTGGGTCTGCACCTTCAGGGAGAGTCCTGGGCTCCCTCCCCCATCCAGGACCTGAGTCAGAAATCACTTGGGTGAATGAGGGTCTCTGCCATGAGAGTCCTCCTCTCCCCACCTCATCAGGAAACCGTGCTTTCTTGTGTTTCTGCATCTTCTGTCTCTCCCCCTCTCCTTTCCCTGGCAGCATTAAAACATGTTCCATCACCCCTAAATACACACACACACACACACACACACACACACACCCTGCATCAAGCTTCCTTGAATTAGCTTTTATCCCTTTGACAGCTAAAGACTTGTGGAACCCACCAGCTCAGTCCCTTACCTCCTACTCCCTCCTCAACCCTGCACATCTGGCTGCCCACCTCCCATGGCCCTGCAGCGGCTCTGTACAAGACCGTGGAGGACCAGCCACTCATTGCTGAGGCCTGAGGATGCGTTCTCATCTGGCATAGACCACTCCCTCCCGCCTAGCATTCCCTTTGCTCTACATCCTGTTCTTTCCTGGTCAGCTCCTTCCCTCTCCAGCTGCTCCTTAGAACCCCCCAGGGCTCACCTTTCACTGCCAGCCCTTTACTGGGCCGTGGTCCTCAGGGCTGTGTTTGGCCTAGCTCTCTGCTCCTCCCACCTGCCCCCTCTTCCTAGAAAGGTTCCTTGATGTTCCCATGGATTGTCTAAGACCTTTTGATCTCTCTGTGTGCAGAACAGCTCTCCGCACTCCCAACCCCCTCATACACACCTGAGCCTCCTTCCAGCAAAGAGACGCCCTAACTGTCCACCTACCACCTACTCCCCTGGCCAGACCTGAGTTTCATTCTATCCCCTTTACTCTCTTGTCACCTCTGCTGTACTCTTAAGTCCTATTCATCCATCCTCAGTTGTGGCTCTGGGACCTGCTCCACCCTTGTTCTCACTCCCTACCCTCTACCCCTGCTCAGGTCTTGTCTTTCCGGACTCCATCCCCCTCCTTTGCCTCCAGGGCTCCATTCTTGCCCCTTCCAGCCTACCCCTCAATGTCCCAGCAGGCTCTTCAGTGCCACTAGCTGATTCC